CAGAGTATGGGAGCTGGCTAAATTTCTGTGAGAAGCGATGTTCTGTCTACGGGAAATTCATCCTGTTCTGTTGTCTGCCTCCCTACCCCCTTTTGGAATCCTCCGAGTCAAATGCTTCAGGTTGGAGCAGCTCTGGTGACTGTGTTGCCATCTACAACCCCTGTGCTGTAGCGATGGAGTACGGGGGCAAGGGAACAACCTGACTTCAGCACTCCTCCCAGAACTAGCAGAAAAATCCTGGGAGCAGCTCTGCTGCAGGACAGAGCAGGGAGGGGGGGGGGGGGGGGGGGGGGAGAGGTAGGTGAACACCAGCAGGCTCTGCTAATCAGCTGATGAGGTCCAGAGAAATGCTTGGGCCAGATCCAGCCCCTGGGCCTGCCCACCCCTGCCCTAAGCAGACCTGTAGTCAGTCATCTTAAGAACTTATACAGAAGTCTGTGGATCAGTATGGTTCTGGATTTTCTAGGGCATGATAATAAAGTGCTTGTTTCCCTGCCTCCCACCCCATTCCTTTATTCAAATACACCTTGCCATGCACTCTTACACTTGGCTGTGTGAGACACACTCACATGCTTTTCCCATTGGTTGCCATCAGGCAGGTGTTCAACACAGAGCTGAATTCCAGGCTATGCACTTCCTGCCACTCTTTTGTTGCTTCCTGGTCTGGAAGAGGGAGTGGAAGATAGTAACTAAGAGTAGGTCAGTGGTCTCCAACCTTTTTACATCCAAGATCACTTTTTAAATGTCAGAGCAAGCTGGGATGTCTCTCATCCCTTTGAGGCTCCACCCTCTTCAAGCCCTTCCACAGACTAACTGTTGCTAATGGAAACCTTCACTGTTAATTACATTTTGCTAGCACTGCAGCTGGGGAGAATGGTTTAGTTTAAATTATTAAACAGATTAAGCATTTAACAGATTAATTTTTTCATGTTAGTTGATCAAATTCCATTTTAAATAAAGTAAAATATTGTTACGTCCAACACAAAAGGTTTCAATTTTTGTTTTAATGGTTGGGTGGGAACCTTTTTTGGGTTGGGGGCCACTGACCCACAGAAAAATCAGTTGGGGACCACACAAGTGAGAAGCAAAAAAACCCTCCCAAACCCCCAACCCTCGCTGATGTGGCCCCCCTCACCTGAGACACCTCACTCCTCTGGCACTACAGCCCCCAAAGGGAAGGGGCAGTGAAGGCTGAGGTTCAAGGCTTCCCATAGGTCAGATTTACTTTTCTGGGGTGCTGGAGTTAGTGGATTTTGTGGACTCCCCTTAGGCTCTGAGGTGCGAATGAAAGTGAGGGGCTCAATGTGTGGGATAGGGTTGCCAGCGAGAGGGATACGGAGGCAGGATCTAGGTAGGAGGGCGGCTGCAGGGTCGGAAAGGGAGTTTAGCGGCAGGAGGGTTTGGGGCAGAAAGAAGTAAGAGGGTGAGAATGCAGCCAAATAGCTAGTTGGGGAAGGAGGCAAAAAAAGTGGGGAGTAAAGGAAAGTGCAGCTTCTGCAAAGTACAAAATGTATATCTCCCTCCCCCTCCCCCCTGTCCAGCCCTTCCCTCTGCTCCAGCCTCCCCTCAGGCCCATGATTCCCCCCAGCCTGATCCCCTGCATTGCTCCATGCCGTTCAGTGCAATTCCTACCCCTTCCCATCCTTTGCCCCCAGCACTCACAGGCAGGACAGTAGCCCTGGGGCAAGGAGGGGAAGGGGGCAGAGTCTCTTCCCTGCCTGGCCCAGCCCCTTGCCTGCTAACCTAGGCTCTGGGGCTGGGGCAGGCAGAGCCCAGGGTTGCCTTCAGCCATGCCAGGCACAGCAGGATGCTAGGAAAGGTGGCTCTCCGACCCTGCACAGAGCCTGCAGGGAGCAGCATGGGGAAGCCCTAGTGAGCCAAGTGCCCCTCTGATCCAGCCCAGCTGGAGCACAGCGCAGCCTCTGTGGGCTGAATGCCATGGCCTGCTGGATTGGAGCGATCAACCAGTCAATCATGATCGACCAGTTGGTGACCACTGGAGTCGGTCTCTCTTAAGGAGAAGGCCAGCTACAGGAACCAAAATGCTGGCCTTGTTACCTGGGGAACACTCTAGAAAAATTAATTCAGATTAATGCAACTTTAGTCCACAGCTGTCCTTAAACCCTAGCAGGCAGACATTGTGGCTTAATATAGTTTAACTAATCCATCTTAAAATTCACATTTTCAGCTACTTCAGATTATTTTTTCAGCCTGTTCAGAGATGCCCTCGCTGTAGACCAAATAATGTTCTTGCCAGAATTATAGAAGTTAGCAAATTCCAAAAGTTTCATGCAGGGTCACTGGCTACTGCTCTGTAGATTCTCAATATGCTCACACGGACTAACTCCCACTGTTATTTAATACTGAAATACTAGGTTGTGGACATTGCCTAGGTTAGCTGAAGTGAACAAAGAGTTTATCACAACACATAGGCTCTATCTTGCACGTTTCATAACTTTAACATGCTTAGGTTAAATGTGGACTAAACCCCATACCAGCATTCAAATGACTAAAACTAAAAGTTCTTGTCTAAAGAATTTTGCACAATATTGGTTAATTCTGCAAAACAAACTTCCATTATAGAAATAGATTACATCCCACCATGGCCTTAATGCATCCCACAAATTGTGCAACCTTAGAGAAAGTGGCTGTTGGAACAGATATTCCACATTATAGGGAGCTGGAGAAGCTGGCTGCTAGGTGTTTCACTCTCCCTGCCCCCCACTACAGTTAAGTCCAGACTTCCTCTTGTTACAAGTTGTATTAGCTGCATAATCCCATCAACCTCTAAATGTAGAACAAGAATCATTCTTGGATTATCACTCTGCCTCTTCTGCATGAGACACCTTTCCCAAGCAATTGCCACCTTTGCTATAGGGATATAAAATCCTGTTTAGTTAACTGGTTATAAACATTAAGTTTAACCAGTTAACTGATTAAATGGGGGGTGGGTGGGGAAGCAGACAGCCCAGCCCTGCCGCAGCTGGGTTGAAGCAGTCCCCACCAGTTAACCATGACCAGTAAGCATCACTCATTCAGGTTGATGCTTACTGCTTAACCATTCATATCCTACTTTCCTAATGCCTGAAAAATGCTTCTTTGACATCCAGGTTAAAACAACTGCAAGGATAGAAGCTTTATTATTAGAGCCCTGCAAATTAGGGATGTTAGCGAGTAGTTGACTGAAGTATTGACTACTCCCCCTCCCCCCCACACACACACCCGCCCTTGCTGTCTTGGAGGGAAACAGGAGCTGGTGCTGGGGGGAGCTGGCTTAAAAGTTCTGAGGCGGGGGGAGAGGGGCCAAGGCTCACTGAGGGCAAAGGCTGCTCTGGCAGCAGCCCCTGTCCATGAGGGTCCCAACGGGGAGCTAGGCCCCTCCATGGCCAGGGGCAGCTGCCGCCATGCAGCCCCTGTTTGCAGTGGACCAGGCTGAACAATGAAACATGGGCTGCTGGACTCAGCATGAGTCAGGACCAGCTCCTGCTGCTCTCAGAAGCTGCCCCTCTGCATTTAAATGTAGTAAGATCCCAGAGGCTCTTACTACATTTAAAATGCAGAGCCGCAGCGGGGGTGGCTCCTGGAGTCCGCACAAGCCAGGACTACTTAGTCCCTGCTCGAGACAGCTCCTGGAGTCACCTTCACTGAGGCTCTATAGAGCGCTCCTTATCAACTAATTGTGTAGTTAGTTAATAGTGTGTATCAGATAACCACAATTTAACATCCCTTCTGCAAATCCATGGAGAGTCTTTTGCTGATTGTGGATCAGTTGCAAAATCTGGTATCGGCACAGGGCTCTATATATTCTTTCCACGCTAACAGGGCAGACAAAGTCCCTCCTCCCAGCAGCTCAGTCAGTTTGTTTTGGGCAGTTACAATATGCAATGGCATAAAAGCCACTGTACTCTGCAAAACAAGTGGCATTTTGTAGAGAGGTCAGATTACAGCACTCAGCAGATGTTCCTCATGAGCACACCTTACACTGTGTCTGCAAAACAAGTGGCATTTTGTAGAGAAGTCAGATTACAGCACTCCTCATGAGCACACCTTACACTGTGAGAGTACCTTACACTGTCTTTAGGGATAGGTGGTTCAGTCGAACGCATATCTTAAAGATAATTTTAAGAATGTCCACACTCAGAGCATGTGTTTTAAAAAGCAGAATGAACTACACAACTGCTGCTCTAACAAACTGGTAGGTAATACCACACAAATAGCTACATTTCTGAGAAACAAGTAAATGCTTCATCATCTGCTAGAAGTTTATTAGCTTTGATGGGATGCAGAGCATGTTGCAGTAAGCCACCTCTACTCACAGATATGGATAACCCTGCTATAGTCCTTTTCCAAGGGGAAAAAAACAGCACAGTTGTGCCTATTTGTATTTGGCTAGTCAGGTGCACCTGTGTGGTTCCACAAGGACCTTAGGCCCGAACTTCATTAGCATATTCCGCCCAGAAAGGTCACCACTTTAGGGTCTTGAGATTTTAACTAGTTCGCCCTCAACTAGAACCTGATCTGCATTTGAGTGCACTGCTCATTTAACAAAGAGCTGTGGCACTGTCAGAATGCTGCTGCCACAAACAACTTCACCGTCTCTCCTGGTGCCCCCTCATGCTGGAAAAATGATAAACTAGGACCCTGCACAATCCCCTTTGATGATGGTCCCTGGACCAAATTCTTCCCTGTGTCATCTCAGGCAGGATAAGCCACCACCTCTCCAGTAGGAGTGTTTAACCCTGCCAACAATATCTCATAAGAACATAAGAACGGCCGTACTGGGTCAGACCAAAGGTCCATCTAGCCCAGTATCCTGTCTACCGACAGTGGCCAGCACCAGGTGCCCCAGAGAGGGTGGACCGAAGACAATGATCAAGCGATTTGTCTCCTGCCATCCCTCTCCAGCCTCTGACAAACAGAGGCCAAGGACACCATTTCTATCCCCTGGCTAATAGCCTTTTATGGACCTTACCTCCATGAATTTATCCAGCTTCTCTTTAAACTCTATTATAGTCCTAGCCTTCACAGCCTCCTCTGGCAAGGAGTTCCACAGGATGACTACACGCTGTGTGAAGAACTTTCTTTTATTAGTTTTAAACCTGCTCACTAGTATTAAAAGGCAACTCTCAGATCTAGAGGTTTAAAAATAAGTGGCCACCTACTTTAAGTCAGATATTACAGAACCATCACCAAGCCTAAAGCTCCAATTGCAGGCCCCCTACCTGGGACTGAAGCCCTTTAGCTTTGGCGCCCTGCTCAGAGTGTTGGGACAGTGGGAGGAGGGGAGAGGGAGGGTCAGGCTTGAGACCCCCTTCCCAGGGTTGTGAAGTAATTTTGTTGTCAGAAGAGGGTGGCAATGCAATGAAGATTGAGAATGCCTGGTCTAAAGCTGTGCTGGAAGGTCAAGAAGCCGAGGTCGCATGCTAAGCAAGCCACAGCTGCTTCACTAAAACCAACTCGGAGTCAAGAGCAGGTGAGTAACAAGAACTGAATTAACTGCATAAAGGCCTAAAATTCCCATAGTTACATTTGTCATTTAAAAAAAAAATCAAACACCGAGATGATGCTTTGCGAAGAACTTGCCTTTTGTTCGTTGCCATACTGAGAGGTGAGTGGCATCTGCCTCAAACACACTCCCAAAAGACATGTTAGAATGTCAGATTGTCTGGATCGTCACATTCTGTTGGATTTCGTTTATGGAAGGCGGCTGGTGGTACATAGGTTAACTCACAAAGTTGGAGGGAATGATAAGTCGGTTGCACTCTGGTTTCTTGTGTAATGGATTTGAGTTGAGAATGAAGTGCTCTGAAAGACAGGGTGATATATAAACAAATGCAGATGATTATGCAATTGCATTTAAAAAGGAAGGAAACTTTAAGGTATCACTTTTTTAAAAAGAAGGGATTTTTCCTCTCAAATTTGATTTCCAACAGGTTTGTTCCCAATGAAAAGTGGCCTCGGTTTCCGCAAACTAAACCAAACCTGGCAGTTCCACTCCACACTGCATTACAAGAGCATGCACTGTGATACGTGTTTCCTCTGACTCCACTAAGCTTGTTGCATCTGATACCATGGAATTAAGAGGCTCAGCCTCCACTCTACTTATGGTACCAACAAGAGAACAGACCGGAGGTCCAGGATTTTGGTTAATTTGTTTTCCATGCATCAGAAGGCATTCCCAAGGTAAGTGCAACAGAGCAGTGTGTACAGCAAATAACGACTGTGGATGAGTGCTCCAGCTACCGTGGGCTACTGTGCATGAAATGGGGAGCACTGCACCTCCATTTTTCTAGATGGACTGACATGCTGTTAAGGCAAGCAGAGTTAGAGGTGGGGCAAAGGGCCAATCCTTCCCTGTACTTTGTACTGGTAAGCTTAAGTGGCTCCTCCATGCTCAGAAAGCCAACATTGCAGATTCTTCCCTCCTCTCTGCCCTGCCAATCGAACTCTGCCCATCCATTGTGTGGGGAGCCTGGCGCTATGGATTCCACTTGGCAGCACGTCTCCTAGAAGTTAGGTGTCATAACAGTTGGGTTAAATCCTCTTTGCAAATCCCACCCATTAGGTTTCCCTGGCAGTTTGCTAGTAACATCTGTGTGTATTCTGAGAAACTCAGTTCCTCCTTCTGGGCCACCAAGGGCTCAGAACGCTGCAGAGAAAGCAGGTTCTGCACATTGGGAAGGAAGTTCTACCACCATCTCTCACACTCAGACTGGGGCAGATGCAAGGGGTGGGGGGGGGGGGGGAGAGAGAGAGAGTGGAAAAATCAAACACACACAGGTTCTCTTTAGGGAAGAGCAGAGGGGGATGAAAGGATCCATGAGAAGATCAGAAAGCTTCCCAAGCAAATATGCCACTAGTAGCTTTGTAAATGTAGCGCATTTTCCCTACCCAAAAGCATGGTTAGAAGAGGGAAAAGCAGGGTAACTGCCCACATCCCCATGGATGATGTAAAGATGGAATTCTCAGATGGCAGAATGCTAACCAATCATGATTTAAATACAGAGACCAATAATGCCCCCTCCACTATTCTTCCCCACCCCTACACACTTCAAGTTAGCGAGACCCTTGGAGTCATCCTCTAGAGCAGGGGTTCCCAAACTTTTGGACACAGGGACCAGTAAATCCATTCACGAACTTCTGGAGGACTGGTAATGTTCAATTACATATTTGCATATTCATTAATCAAATGATGAATATTCAAATAAGTTGTTTCTGGTCCTCCCAAAACCCCCAGTGCCAGCTTTAGCAAATCTTTTGCTATGGTCACCCACAATATTCTTGCCAGCAAGTTAAGGAATATGGATTGGATAAATGGACTGTAAGACAGACAGAGAGCTGGTTACACCAGGGTTTCCCAAACTTTTTACTTTAGTTGGAACCCTTTTTTCCAATACTGCTTTTTGCAACCCAAAAATATAAACACATAAAAAACAAACTGAGAAAATACCAGACATATAACAACTTAGGTAAGTTGTATTATTACTAGATGTATCAGTTTGTAGTTTCGAACTGCCTGGCTGGTAAATGTGCTCAGGCTGCGTGAGTGTGTCTACCAGCCAGACAGTTCGCAACTCCCTTGGCCAGCCCCTCTGCCCGCATCCAGCCCTCCCCCCACCAGCCACTTCTTCCCCTCTCCCCCCGCCATCTTCCCGGGCCAGCACCCTGGCCCCAACCTCGCACCCCCGGCCCCAACCTCCCCACCCCGGCAGCCC